ACTCTGTTGGACGAGAAACAAAAAAATGGGGAGTCAGTTGATGTCTTCGTCAAACGGTTCCGAAACAAAGCGGTAAACTGCCAAGATCCACTCACAGATGAGTTCATCCTACAGACATGTCACAATAACTTGTCATTGGATGTATTAGAGGTAATGGGGGTTGTGCCCTCTAAAACTTGGAAAGAATTAAAGGTGAGAGGTGAGCAAGCTGAACGCTTTCTCAAGAGGAAGAATTTGGAGAGGGGTCAGCCACCAGCTAATACTCAAAAACAGAATTTTAATCCTTGAGGCAGAGGAAGATGGTCCGTGACAGCTGTTGATGCTCATCAAACATCACAACAGCCGCAACAACAACCGCATCAATCATCTTTCCAACTGGCGCCAAATCAGAATCAACAACCTCCGAGGCAACCTAAGACTTCAGAGCCCAAATTCCCGAAGGAGTATTCTTTCAAGGATGATGAAGTACTAGTTATCTTCAAATATCTATTAGACAACAACAAGATCAAGCTTCCACCTGTCACAAACCAAGAAGAAGCAAAGAAGACTAATGACCCGAAGTATTGTGCATATCACAGAATGGTCCACCATCCCACTAAGGCGTGTTATGTCTTAAAAGATAAAATACAAACCTTAATCGATTTTGGTATTGTAACGCCGAAACCAAAAGAGAAGAAAGTAGGTGCGAATGCGGTGTCTATTAGCTTCAGATCGGTTCCTTTATCCTGGTTTCAAGCTGAGCCGGTATCAAAGGTTAAAAATACAAACCATCAACGATGACCCTCATGGACAGCACCAAAAGGGACTCGTGTCACACACGACCCCCAACGACGAAATCCTTTGGGTTCATCCGGATTTGCTTGAAGATGAACAATGGACAACATCCACGTCAAAGAAGAACGTAAAAGGGAAGGGAAAAGAGAAGTCCTCTTACGGAGCCTCGGCAATTCCTGAGAAGAATAATGAAGAGATCTCAACTTTACCACTTTCTGAGGGAGAGCAGGAAGTTTTCGCTACTAGAAGTGGAAACGAATACAGTTTCAATTACCCAAGCGCATCCGAGCAATTAGCCGAGCAAGGGGCAGTTAAAGCGGTACCTACTAAGACTTTGGCAGAGCTGGGGGTGATTACAAGTCCACCAGTAGCAGTCGAAGTTAAAGCGGTACCTACTAAGACTTTGGCAGAGCTGGGGGTGATTACAAGTCCACCAGTAGCAGTCGAAAAGCCTCAAAGAGTTGATAAGCAAAAGGAGAAGGAACCCCAACATAAAGAGGTTCAAGTTCTGAAGCAGTCTCGTTTCAATCGACCGATTGGACGAGATAAACCGGAAAGCTCGAAAACTCCATACCGCTTCGATGTCATGACTCAATTAGCTAATATCCCAGCAAGGATCACGCTATATGAGTTATTACGCCTCTTAAAAGAAACCAGAGAAGCTTTACAAGAAGCCTTGGCTGATATTGAGGTATTCCTTACTCAGATTAAGCCAACTCCTGAAGAGCCAGAGTCATCAGTTCAGCATTGCAATCTAGCAGCCACAAAATTCCCTTACATCACTTTCATAAAAGAAGATATGCAAGTCAGGAATTCAAAACATGATAGGCCTCTATATTTCACCGGATATATTGGTTCGAGCGTTGTCAACCGGATTCAAGTTGATCCGGGTTGCGCCGTTAGCATCATGCTACTACGATTGATGTACCACCTCGGAATTCCCGCCAGCAAGCTAGCCTCCACGGGAACTGTTATCTACGGATTCAATACTAGTGGGTCAAGACTGTTGGGAAAAATTCGGGTGAAATGTCAACTCGAAGACTTGAAGTCTGAAGTTACCTGCTATGTGATTGATGCAGAGACTTCCTATAACTTACTGTTGGGTCGCCCATGGATTCACAGTAACCTTATAGTTCCTTCCACATTCCATCAGTGTCTAAAATATGTCGACACTAACAATGAGGTTAAGACGGTGGTCGCGGATAAGCAACCATTTAAGGGATTAGAAAATTATTTTACTAATTCCCTTCTTTATGGTGCTGAATCCTATACTTAACCATCGGCCCATGGTACGGACACTAAGTATAGTCATCAACGAACGTGATGAACCAATATCGACCACCAAGTGATGCAGTCTTGGTGGGACCCCAAACGTTTGTGTGCACGTAGTCCAGGATGCCCCTCGTCCTATAAATGGTCGTCCTAAACTTTACCTTCGTCTTCTTGTCAAGAACACAATGCTCACAGAATTCTACTTTACCACTCTTTGCTCCCTTCAATAGCCCCTGCTTGCACAAAGCCTGTAGTAACTTCTCTCCTGTGTGTCCTAACCTGTAATGCCAAAGCTTGCTCATGTCTGCCTCTAAAATAGCCGAAGCAACCTGGCCAATCTTGGTGCTTCCCTTCAAATAGTATAAATTTTGACTGCAGACTCCCTTCATCACCACCAAAGATTCCTTAGTAACCTTTGCTACAGCGTCTTCAAAGGTCACCTTGAATCCCTTTGCCTCCAAAGCTCCAATTGAGATAAGATTCTTCTTCAGCTGAGGAACAAATCTCACCTCCTTTAATTTACGAACTACTCCATCATGCATCCGTATCCTTACAATACCTATCCCACAAATACCACAGGACTGATCATTTCCCATGACTACAACTCCCCCATCAAGCTTCTCAAAAGATGCAAACTAATCTCGCCTAGGGGTCATATGATAGATAGCGTCGGAATTAAGCATCTAATTTGATGCATCCAAGTGGTTCACCTCCGGAGTAATCAGTAGAGAAAAACTCGAATCATCGAAATCATCGTCTTTCACAATATTCACCTCATTGGCCTTCGGGCCCTTTTTCTTACCATTCTCTATCTCCTTGAGCTTCGGGCAATCTCTCTTCCAATGTCCCTGCTCCGTGCAGAATGCATATTGGTTCTTTACTAATTGGTAGCGGCTTTTTTTCTTTTTCCTCCCTCTATTATCACCTTTTGGATATGGGCTTCTACCTCTCGTCGACAAGGCATCTCCTGAAGTACTAGCACGGAAAGTCTCATTGTCTTTCCTCCTTAAATCATAATTCGTCAATGCATTAGTAACTTCACTATAGCTGATAGAACATCTTCCGTTCAACAAAGTGAGCACAAAGGTGTCATACTCCTCATCCGGTAAGGAGCCCAATAAGATAATAACCTTGTACTCATCCGATATCTTCTCATCAACATTCGCCAAGTCCAACAACAACTTCGTATAGTTGTTCACATGAGCCGCAAGTGAGGTGCCTCTGGACATCTAGAATCTGAATAACCTACGCAGCAAATGCAACTTGTTCTCAATACTCTTCGTAAGGTACTTATTGTTGAGAATTTCTAACATTTTCATCGCAGACGTCACCCCAATTACATCATACTTTAGCTCATGTTCCAAACTGTCACGCCCCGCTTCCTAAAATACCCGGGAATCGGAACGTGAACAAGCCCGCGACGTATTAGATTGAGAAGAAATATATACTATCTTTTTTTTTCTCTTTTCTTTTCTTCTCAATCTAATACGCTAAGCGTCTAGAAACAAATACAATACAAAGTTACAGGTCCCCGATCACACATAGCAAGAATATAAAGACAACCCAGAATAAAAATAGACATATCATCAATGGTAAATCATCCCAGACCTAAGATACGGGTCAAACATACCCTTATTACAACAACAGTCCAACTAGAAAATAAGAAATACATAGTCCATAAAGAAAATACTGTTAAAATACTAAGTCCAACATCAACTAAAGAAAAGTACGGTAAAAGAGTTTTAATGTTCATCAGCTACTACAGAGGAAAACTACTGAGCTTCAGCTTATTCTTCTACTCCACCTGCAAGGCACTCCTACTGAGAATCCTCTGGCTCCTGCACTATCCCGAACTGAGGCTGCTCATCTCCTTAATCTGACGTACACCCAGAAAATAGGAGTACGTCAGCGTGTGAAACACACGGCAAGATCCCCCAAGGCAGGAACAAATACAATAACAGTAATGATAACATATGCGTGGTCAATGCGATAACATAAATAAAAATAGAACATGTGATGATAGAATAACAATAGAGGCGTGCAACTGGAATACTAATAATCAGACGAATCCAAAAAATCAACCAAGTAACAAGATCATGCAAGTAGTGATAAGAAAACATCCACGCAACAAGGTCATACAATAGATAGAATTAATATTTAAAAATCTACAACAAGAGACGTAGTACGTCGAGCGAAATAATCCAAACAAGGAAACCCTTATGTATATACCATAATACTAATCCCGATCTATGTATGAAAAGGAGTACAACCGGCCTATATCTCACAAGAATCATACTTAGCCAAGAATCGATGTCATGTAACTAACTATCACATCACTCATCTCAAATAATCAACAATCTCAATATCCCTGCTCCTCAGACCCACCCCAGCCCGAAACAAAACGCTGGCGCGAGCCTGGAAAATACATCAACAATCACATATCACGATACTTCAGACCCACCCCAGGCCGAAACAAGACACTGGCGCGAGCCTGGAAAATACATCAACAATCACATATCACGATACCTCAGACCCACCCCAGGCCGAAACAAGACACTGGCGCGAGCCTGGAAAACAATCAATAATCATAACCGCTCACATGGACCAAGACTTCTCACCTTAATTCTCGTAATTCCAAGTCAACTATACACGAGATTCTAGATCCTAACTGTGTCATACAGGTCACTATAGTCAGGTACTTCCCATGATTCTTAACATGGAATAATAAACGTAATTACGCTAAGCGTCAAAGTCATAAAGTATGAACAGGGGGTCGTGATCACATGTAAGAAACATACGAAAGTAAAGCTACTATTAACAATGGAATAAGAAACATACGAAAGTAAAGCTACTATTACGCTAAGCAGTGGTGAAGTGGGGGCAGCGCTGGAGTTCGCCGGCGACGACGACGGGCTCAGGCGGAGACTGCGGGTTGGAGGTTGAAGGGAGAGGAGATGGTGCAGGCGTGGTGGACGGCGGCGCTCGACGGCGTGGGGAGGAGGAACACCGGTCGGTCAGGTTTAGGAGCTGGGAGGAAGAAGAAGAAAAAGATGAAGGGTGGGTTTTCTTTGGGTGAGCTGATTGAGAGAGAGGGGGCTGATGGAAATAAGAGGAGAGAGGGTGATTGGAGAGAGAGGATGAGCTGTCAAATTGTGAGAGGGGGAGAGAAAAGGAAAGTATGAGAGAGAGAGAAAGATATGCACGTGATTTGGGGGATTGGTTTGGAAAGAAATCAAAAGATGGGGAGTGATTAGGGGATTGATTGAGAAATAAATTAGGGAAAAATAGAAAAAGAGAGGAAGAGAACGTGGGGGTGCTTCTCGTGAAGTGGGGATGTGGGTGGAGTGGGAGAGATGGGGAGATATTTTTAGAAATAAAAAATAAGAAACAAATTAATGGATGATAGCAATCACAGGAGGGAGTGATTGATTGAGTATGGAGAGTGAGAAAATAAAGAGAGGGAGAGAATTACGGGATTAAAAGGAATGTGTTAAATAGTGATTAGGGAATTGATTGAGAAATAAATTAGGGAAAAATATGGAAGGAATTCAAATAGGAGGAAATTAAGAGAGGGAAAAATTCGAAATTTTCACATAATATTCTGCATTATATTAATAATTAATAATTAACCAAAAATCCTTTTTATTAATATTTATATACTACTATACTATGCTCAAGTTTACATAAAACATACAAGGTTATTAATAATATTAGTCATCAAATGATTATATATAAAAAAAATTACTAAACCGTAAATTAATATTTAGCAGAATTAAAAATACAAGACTATATATTTTATTATTTATTTATTTTGAAAACTCAGAAAGTTCCAGAAATTGAGAAAAATATTAATAAAATAAAGTTTAATATTTTAAATACTAGTAAACTTTATTTAAATACGTATCAAAAATTACGGTTGTTACACAAACAGGATCTGATCACCCCCACAAGCGTTCCTATTCATCTTTTCCCATATCGCTTCTTCATATTTTGGTGGCCTCTTGTGGACCATGATGGTCTCCTCCAAGTTCTGAGCATTGAGCGCATCCTGTATGTTGCTCATCCACAAACCAAAGTTAATTTTACCGTCATATTTCACCATACTAATTTAGTGTTCTAAAAACCAACTTGAACTGTACTCGCCACCGACTTGCTGCTTTTACCTTCTTCTCCCATTACAAACTAACTCCAAGTTATAGAAAAAGAATCAAACTTTGATAGAAATAAAGAATTACCCAACTGAACCCTAGATCGGATTCCAAATAGATCTCCTATCCACACGAGGAAAGCAAAATCTCCAACGGCAACTCCTAATTCTATCTCCACCGAAGCCTAGAACTCCAAGAACCAAGCTTCACACAAGAATCTTCCTCCACCTAATTTCAAAATCCTAGATCTGAAACCTAGACTCTGATACCACTTGTTGTGCGTAGTGGAAATTTCGACAGTACTTCGGCAACACAACAAGAGAGTCAGGTCGTAATAGGAATTCTTGTTTCTCAAAGAAAAAAAGTACCTTAAGCAAAATATCTCAACAAAGTGAGTTATCAGCTCTTCCTCTCATCAGTTCTAGACTGACTTGTCGAGGGAACCTAAATAAACTATTACAAATCACACAAATAGCGAGTTAACTAATTTTACGTGGTTCGACAATTTGTCTACGTTCACGAGGAGAGGATGGGAAGATTCTACTAAATCAAGGAGAGTATAAAGGGTTACAATCTCACAAAACTCACAAACTAACCCTCAACTAAAGCTATTAACTTTCTCATAATATCTCCCTCTCACAATGCTCAAAAGTCTCTCTAATCTTTGATTACAACTCTCCTCTCTTTTGATGATTGATTCTAATCTCCATATATATAGAAAAACTAAAACCAAAACAGAATAGGAATCCTAAAACCAAAAACAAAATAAATTAGGAATCCTAATAACCTTATTTTACCAAAATAGATTAGGAATCCTAATAACCTCATGTTACCAAAATAGATTAGGAATACCGCTATCCAACAATTTCCGGGTAGCAAGAAGATGAAGAGGATGATGAGGAGGATGACGAGATGGAGGAAACTATTGAAGGTTGTTCTAATCAAGGTGATGATGATGGTGGTGGTGGTGGTGGTGATGATGATAATGATTAGAATGATGCCAACAAGCCCCCTAGACATGGTCGCGTCATTTTTAGTTTGACAATGATGAGTAATTCAGATGATTACTCTGTTTGTATATATTCTTAACTCTAGTTTCATTTCAGTATTTTCCATTTTTCTTTAAACTTACTTATGTATTTAACTACTTAGATAGTTCTAGATATGTGCTTTAGTTTTCTTTCCTTTTTTGTTAATTGAATACCCATAAAAATTTCTTTTCCTTTCTTTTTAGTTTTAGGGGTTGTTTGGTTCATTTCCTAAATATAGGGAAATGCAATTCCATGTGAAGAAATGCAAGTTTTGAGTTTTCCAAACTTTTCTAAGAAATATATTGTTTCATTTGGTTCGCACATAAAAAATGATGGGAAACCAATGTATTTACTTTTCTTGTGTTTGGTTCGCATGGAAAAAAAGAGAAAATTTGTGTTGATATGACATTTCCCACTTTTCTTGTGTTTGGTTAGTTTTAAAGTTTCTAGGGAAAAGTGTTTATAGTCACCATGGTAAGATTACCCCCACTGTATATAAATTTATTTGTGCTCGTTATGTGACGTAATCTTAATCATATAAAGGTTCGAATGTAACATGAACCAATAATAATATCTCCAATGAATATAAATTTTAGTTTGTATTATTGAAATTATTGAAAACCTGAAATAACATGAATCAATTGCTATGAACTACGTACCTGATTTGAATTGAAATATACATGTTTGAGATAGAAAAAATCACACGAAACCTGTAATAACCTGATTATTCATAAATTTATGTAATACATACCTGAATTACCCAAAAAATTTGCTAAAACCTATAAAAACATATAAACAACCTGAATAGCCATAAATATGTATATAACATAGAAAATCTCATCAAATCTGATAATTTATGCATGTTGATGAACTTTATGTGCAAAAAATCATTGTAATGACCGTGAAATTTTGATACTAGTTAAAATAATTTTTTAGTATTTTAAAATATTTAATTATGATTTTTAAAAGAGTATTTATATTTTTCTCCAATTTTTACAATTTTCTATGATTTAAATTCTAAGTTTAATATTTATTTAAATGAGTTTAATATTTATAAATTTATTCAGTGTAGTAAAAATTTCTAGAGTTTATCCGTTGAGTTACCGATACTGTTACATGTTATTTTGAATAATACGTTGTATTATTTTTATTATTACGTATATTTTTGTATAATACGCTGTATTATTATTACGTATTATTTTATGTAATTAGTTGTATTATTTCTACTGTTACATATTATCGGTTGTATTAGTACAACTTGTATGTTTTATCACGTAGATAATTATCCTATAATTATTTGATTTTAAAAATAAGAAATTGTATGTTTTATTAATTATTCTTGTTTAATTATACAATTTATAGTATTATTTCTTTAGTTTCGTATCAACTGTTGTATTAGCACAACATGTACGTTTTTATTTGTAGATAATTATCCTGTATTTATTTTGATTTTTAAATATCATTAGTTATTTCTTTTTAATTAATTTTGTTTTAACTTAATTAACCCTAAACCCTAATTATATATATATATATATATATATATATATATATATATATATATATATT